TTTGTCTATCCACTCATCAGTTGATGGATAGTGGGTTGTTCATACTTTTTGACAATTATAATGGTGCTATGAACATTTGTGTACAAGTTTTTACATAAACATGTTTTCAACTCTCTTAGGCAGTAGAGAATATTCAGGTGGGACTGTAAAAGAATTTGGTGAGTAATTAACATTGCCTAGAGATGAATACTTTATCACCCAGAAATGGACTGTAATTACTGGGACTTGTCTCTCTCCATCTTGGGGATCATATGAGAAAGCTGTGGGTGAGAAGCCTTTGCTTGTATGAAGGATAGTTGTATCTTGTTAGATAAAAGTATAAAGTTGTTACAGTTCTTGTATGGGAGTTTAAGTATGTGTTCTTGTTCTTGTTAGGTGTCGTACAGTTGGTTCTTAATCATAGCGACCCAATGGAAAACAGAACGAAACACTGCCCAGTCCTGCGTCATCCTCACAATAGTTTATGCTTGAGCCCATTGTTGCAGCCACTGTGTCAATCCATCTTGTTGAGGATCATCCTCTTTTTCGCCGGCCCTCTACTTTACCAAGCATGATATCCTCCTCCAGGGACTGATCTCTCCTGATAACATATCCAAAGTATGTGACATGTAGTCTAGCCATCCTTGCTTCCAAGGAGCATTCTGGTTGTACTTCTTCCAAGACAGATTTGTTCATTCTTTTGGCAGTCCATGGTATATTCAATATTCTTCAGCACAATTTGAAGGCGTCAATTCTGCTTTGGTCTTCCTTATCCACTGTCCAGCTTCTGCATGCATATGAGGCAACTGAAAACACCACTGCTTGGGTCAGGCGCACCTTAGTCTTCAAAGTGACATTTTTGCTTTTCAACACTTTAAAGAGGTCTTTTGCAGCAGATTTGCCCAATACAATGCATTTTTTGATTTCTTGACTGTTGCTTCCATGGATGTTGGTTGTGGATCCAAGTAAAATGAAATCTTTGACAATTTGAATCTTTTCTCCATTTATCATGATGTTGCTTACTGGTGCAGCTCTGAGGATATTTGTTTTCTTTATGTTGAGGTGTAATCCATACTGAAGGCTGTAGTCTTTGACCTTCATCAGTAAGTCCCTCAAGTCCTCTTCACTTTCAGCAAGCATATCGCAGGTTGTTAATGAGTCTTCCTCCAATCCTGATGCCCTGTTCTTCTTCATATAGTCTAGCTTCTCAGATTATTTGCTCAGCATACAGATTGAATAGATATGGTGAAAGGATACAACCCTGACACACACCTTTCTTGACTTTAAACCACACAGTATTCCCTTGTTCTGTTCGAACAAACTGACTCTTAGTCTGTGTACAGGTTCCTCATGAGCACAATTAAGTGTTCTGGAACTCCTGTTCTTCGCAATGTTATCCATAATTTGTTATAATCCACAGTCGAATGCTTTTGCATAGTCAATAAAACACAGGTGAACATCTAGCTCAATTGCCATAACATAGTTTGTAAAGACATTGTTCTACATTCTACCTTGGTGAGTAGCGTCTTGGGTCTTAAAAGCCTGTGAGCAGCCATCTAAGATACTCCACTGGTCTCACCCTCTCAGAAGCAAGGGAGAATGAAGAGAACAGGATACAAGGAAAAGATTAGTCCAAAAGACTAATGGACCACAGCTACCAAGGCCTCCACCAGACCGAGTCTAGTACAGCTAGATGGTGCCCGGCTATCACCACTGACTGCTCTGACCGGGATCACAACAGAAGGTTCTGGACAGAGCTGGAGAAGGATGTAGGACAAAATTCTAACACACAAAAATATACCAGATTTACTGGCCTGACAGAGACTGGAGAAACCCCGAGAGTATGGCTCCCGAACACCTTTTAGCTCAGTGGTGAAGTCACTCCCAAGGTTCACTGTTCAGCCAGGGATTGGACAGCCCCATAAAACAAAACGGGACTAATGAGGCACAGCAGTCCAGGTACAAGGACTAGAAGGCAGAAGAGGACAGGAAAGCTGGTGATAGGGAACCCAAGGTTGAGTAAGGACAATGTTGACACGTAATGGGGTTGCTAACCACTGTCATAGGGCAATATGTGCTCCAGCTGTTCAGTGAGAAACTATTTTGTTCTGTAAAGCTTCACCTAAAGTAGAATAAAAAAATAAATTAAAAAAGTAAAATTAAATTTAAAAAAAAAAATCTTTCTGGTATTCTCTGCTATCAGCCAGGATCCATCTGACATCAGCAATGATATCCCTGGTTCCATGTCCTCTTCTGAATCAGGCCTGAATTTCTGGCAGTTCCCTGTCGATGTACTGCTGCGACTGCTTTTGAATGATCTTCAGCAAAATTTTACTGGCGTGTGATATTAATATTGTTCGATAATTTTCACATTCGGTTTGATCACTTTTCTTGGGAACAGGCATAAATATGGATCTCTTCCAGTCGATTGGCCAGGCAGCTGTCTTCCAAATCTCTTGGCATAGACGAGTGAGCACTTCCAGTCCTGCATCCATTTGCTGAAACATCTCAACTGGTATTCCATCAATTCCTGGAGCCTTGTTTTTCGCCAATACCTTCAGTGCAGCTTCGACTTCTTCCTTCAGTACCATTGGTTCCTGATCATATGCTACCTCCTGACGTGGTTGAATGTTCACCAATTCTTTTTTGTATAATGACTCTGTGTATTCCTTCCATCTTCCTTTGATGCTTCCTGTGTTGTTTAATATTTTCCCCTAGAATCCTTCAATATTGCAACTCGAGGCTTGAATTTTTTCTTCAGTTCTTTCAGCTTGAGAAATGCTAAGCGTGTTATCCCCTTTTGGTTTTCTATCTCCAGGTCTTTGCACATGCCATTATGATACTTTCTCTTCTTGAGCTGCCCTCTGAAATCTTCTGTTTAGCTCTTTTACTTCATCATTTCTTCCTTTCCCTTTAGCTAGCTGACATTCAAGAGCAAGTTTCAGAGTCTCTTCTGACATCCATTTTGGTCTTTTCTTTCTTTCCTGTCTTTTTAATGACTTGTTGCTTTCTTCATGTATGATGTCCTTGATGCCACTCCACAACTTGTCTGGTCATTAGCATTCAATGTGTCAAATCTATTCTTGATATGGTCTCTAAATTCAGGTAGGATATACTCAAAGTCATACTTTGGCTCTCGTGGACTTGTTCTAATTTTCTTCAGCTTCAACTTGAACTTGCATATGAGCAATTGATGGTCTGTTCTGTAGTCGGCCCCTGGCCTTGTTCTGACTGATGATATTGAGCTTTTCTATTGTCTCTTTCCACAGATGTAGAAGATTTGATTCCTCTGTGTCCATCTGGCGAGGTCCACATATATAGTTGCTGTTTAAGTTGGTGAAAAAACGTATCTGCAATGAAGAAGTTGTTGGTTTTGCAAAATTCTATCATCTGATCTCTGGCATCATTTCTATCACCAAGGCCATATTTTCCAACTACCAATCCTTCTTGTTTCCAACTTTTGCATTCCAATCAACAGTAATTATCAATGCATCCTGATTGCATCAGACTGCAGAAATTCGTAAAAATCTTCAATTTCTTCATCTTTAGCCTTAGTGGTTGGTGCATGAATTTGAATAATAGTCGTATTAACCGGTCTTCCTTGTAGGCATATGGATATTATCCTATCACTGACAGCGTTGTACTTCAGGATAAATCTTGAAATGTTCTTTTTGATGATGAATGCAACGCCATTCCTCTTCAAGTTCTCATTCCCAGAATAGTAGACCATATGATTGTCCAATTCAAAACGGCCAATACCAGTCCATTTCAGCTCACTAATGCCTAGGATATCAATGTTTATGCATTCCATTTCATTTTTGATGATTTCCAATTTTCCTAGATTCATACCTTGTACGTTCCACGTTTTGATTATTAATGGATGTTTGCAGCTGTTTCTTCTCTTTTTGAGTCGTGCCACGTCGGCAAATGAAGGTCCTGAAAGCTTGATTCCATCTACGTCATTAAGGTCGACTTCGAGGAGGCAGCTCTTCCGTAGTCGTATTTTGACTGCCTTCCAACCTGAGGAGCTCATCTTCTGGCACTATATCAATGTTCTGCTGCTATTCATAAGGTTTTCACTGGCTAATTCTTTTCAGAAGTAGACTGCTGAGTCCTTCTTCCTAGTCTGGAAACTCAGCTGAAACCTGTCTACCATGGGTGAACCCTGCTGGTATTTGAATACCAGTGGCATAGCTTCCAGCATCACAGCAACACACAAGCCCCCACAGTATGATAAACTGACATATGCATGGGGGTTAAGTATGTGTAGAAAGGTCTATATGAATGTTGAGTAGCCAAATGGATGGACTGTTACTAAGCTACTGTCTCTCATATCCAAACCCATCTTTCTATATTCCAGTTTGTGAGTAGAGAAGGTTAGGACTCTACAAATTGTATTTCTCCTTTGACAGTTAGCCCCCTGTTAAATGCTGACAATGCGGCGGGGGGTACTAGAGGGAAATCAAGGGATAGAGAAATAAGAGACTGACTTACACCTTGCTGTTTGCTTGGTGTTCCTGTTAGTGTCACCCTAGCTCTTTATCTAGGCAGTAGTAGTTGATCCCAGTTTCTAGTTTTTTTCCTATACTTCCAGAACCATCATGCTCCCTCAGCTATATCAGAATCAACTGGCCGTGATGCCATCTACTTTATTTCTCAGAGGTCTAGTCCCCTACAGGGCTAGGTCTCAGCTCCACGAGGTCCTTCCTCTGATTTCCTAAGGTACCAGTAAAGCTGGTAGTAGCTACCTCTGCAGTTGTATTTCTGTGTTACCTCAGTGTTTCCCTTTTTGTCTTCTCTATTCTGTAATGCCTGCTCAGCCAATTCCTTTTATTAAATTATGTCTATTAAAATAACTTACATGGTTTCTATTTTCCTGACCAAACCTTAACTGATACATACAGAAGGCATCAATCACACTTCTCAGGAAATGAGTGATAACTACCTTAAGTCCAAGCTGAGTTCTTGGGCTCTGTGATAACATAATATAATATATAAATAGGTATATTTTAAATTGTTACCCATTTTCCAAGTAAGGCTCTTCTTTCTTCAAACACCTACAATAAGTAAAATGAATAGGATGATTTCATATATCATGGTTCAAAATACCTATTACAAGAAAGACATCATTAAAGTATCAGTGAAAAAATATTCAGTACTTTTATTGTGTCAACTGAGTACAAATAAGCAAAGTTCATTTCTAAGAAGATATTTTACTTATTTTTTTTACCTGCATAAGGTTTTTTCGCCTTATCTCCAATATTCTACATGGGGATCCCCAAGTTTCTCCATGTAGAATAATTAGTATTAAAGAAGAAGAATAATTTTTTAAGAGAAGTAATTTTCAAAATGGAATTGAAAAGAGAAATCATTTTTAGAATTTGAAAGGAGATAAAACGAACAACAAAGAGAAAAAAGAAAAATGGAGATCTCCTCCAAAACACTTCAGTATCAATGGTATGGAAATGTGCAAAATTTATGAACTAGCAGCTCCATTTTTATATTTTAATGTGTACAAATATTAGTGGATGTACAGGGTATATGTTGGTAGGATTAGAAATTTGTATATGTGCACCTTCGGACTCACAACTGTTTATAGATTTATTATTATATACTATTTGGGACAAAAGTCATGTTTTATTCATCTTTATATCTCCAGTGTAGAGTACTGTACACAGCATATTACAGGTACTCATGTTTGTTGAATTGAATTGAATGTGGTTGGGAGAATGAATATCCTTATGGATATATAAGTAAAATGTGAGTGTATTTATACATTGATGTGTAGGTGTTTTTCTGAGCATCAGTGCATATGTGTAATTGAGTGAGTGAGGATGGGAAGATTAATATGAGAATGTTTGGCAGAGGAGGGGTAGTGGAGAGACGAAGCAAGTGAGAGTATATAATGAACATATGTGACCGTCTCCCTTTCTCTGCACATACACACTCTGTTAGTTTTCAAAATTAGAACTGGTGTTTTTCCCTTCCTCTTGGCATTACCTAAATTCTAGCATTGTAAGAAAGTTCCTACTTGGAGAGGCAGCTCAGGCCTATTTTTTCTCTTTTTGTCGAGGAGGATGGGGAGCCGGTTTTATGCTTCCAATAGATTACACTTTCCTTCCTTTCTTAGACTCTCAATTCAAAGGACATACAAAATGGGGATTGAAATAATTGGTTCAACAACAACTTCTGGGGCAGTGAAATGTCAGTTTTTCTCCTGGCCAGGGAATGTCAAATATCACAGATAGACACTTTTTGGACATTTGAGAAGAAGAATTAAAAAGCTAATTCCCTTACTAATTAATTAACTGCCACCTGGGCTACTTACCAAAAAAAACCAAACCCACTGCCATCGAGTTGACTCTGACTCATAGCAGCACTACAGGACAGAGTAAAACTGCCCCATAGGGTTTTCAAGGCTGAAATCTTTACAGAAGCAGACTGCCACATCTTTCTCCATGAAGTGGCTGGTGGGTTTGAACTGTCAACCTTGTGGTTAGCAGCTGAGTGCTTTAACCATTGCACCACCGGGGTGCCTATTTCTGGGCTACAAGGATCTTCAAATAAAAAGCAACAGATAAACTCATGATTTATAGATGAATATAGAATAAAACCTATAGAATGCAGAAGATTCAAAAATCTGGATTCAAAGTTACCTAAACTTTTTTTCTCTATCCAAATCCTGTCAATCATCCATTGACAAGTCATCAGCACCACCACTTTTCTGATGCCCAGTGATCTCTCTCCTTCAAACTCCTATTTCATGTATAGTTCATGTTCCAACACATAGCCTGTATAGTGGGTTTTTTTTTTTTTTAAATGCTTTCTGGGTGTTTTTGTTAATTTTATCTCGTTGCATGGATTATAATCACTTTCTCTTATATGCTCCATAGAACTAGCAAGTACAGGTTCCTCAATAAACATCTGCTGATGGAACAGAAATAAGCTTTAGAAGTCATAGAATTTTAGAGTTAAAAGGAATACTAAAGATCTTTCTGTTCAATCCCCTTCTTTTACAGAAGATAAGCAGAGACCCAAAGAGAAAATATTTACAGGTTAAAACAAAAAAAAATCACTGGTTCCAGACTGTTCAGCTCAACTCTGCACTTAGTTCTTCACTAGAATCTTCCCTATCCTGACCTCCAGCCCTTTATTATCAATGGACTGCTGCCCAAACTTTGGCCTGCAGTGGAAAAAAGATAAGGTTAGGTTCCAAGAGCACAATTCAGCTTTCAAAAGAAAGTCGGGAGGTACCATCATGGTGTCCAGTGATGGTGTGGAACACTGGAAACAAAGGGGCACTGACTTGAAGGGGAGAGGATGGTCAGCAAGAAGGCAGTATTAAAAGAATAAGGGTGGGAGGATGGGGAGTGCCATTCAAGCTAACACCATAATCCTGAGAGAGTCAATCAAAGACCACGTCTAAACAGGGTCAAAGCATATCCAGTTCTTCCCAGAATGCATCTAGAAGCAAGTAGAAACTGATGGTGGTGAAGGGGTAGAAGACAAAATAGACTGGAAGTCAGGAGCCCTCAGTTTTGTTGCTACCCTTGACTAGAAATATAATTTTGGCAAATTATTTAATTGCCAGGTCCTCAGTCAGATTTATAGTCTTAAAATTCTCTGGTTTGGAAAAGTTTTCATCCCCAAAATTTGCAATCAGGTTCTTCATCTTAAAGAGCTGGAAAACAAAATATCCATTCAAAATGGAAATATTAAAATAGATCTTCTTCTCTTGAAGACTGCTACAGTCTGTTTATATCACAGTTTACTCAGAGCCTGCTGTTAAGTCAAAATTCTATAGCTGTTATTTTAAGACTGTTGATACTGCAGTTACATATTTCACCATGTGACATCATTCTAGTGTAGGAGTAACACAATATTTAGGGGCTCCTAAATTATGACTTATTCATGGTAACTTGGTGCTTGTTCTCAGAACACCCTTTTAACATATACTGTACTATACGTATGAACCATATTCTGAAAGAAATGTTGATCACTTTCAATTAAAACACGAGATGGCCAAGAAATACATACTTTTAAAACATTCTTCCTCTCAAAATTCACAATGCCTGAATTATTTTGTAATCTGATATATTTGCCTATGCTGATGATGCTACATTTTAGTCATCTAAATTTGCATTCAGTCTCTCTGCTTATAGCCTGCTGTGAAGTCAAAATCCTGTAACTGTTAATTTAGTCTGAGATAGTTATACATTTCACATTTTACTACAGGATAGAAGACAAAATTTAAATAAAAAACTTATCATTGGTGGCAAATATACTGGAAGTGTAGAAAACTCTTTGAAATTATTATACAGATACCTTCTGGTCATCTGTATCCTGGGACATCTATTTTTAATCCTCTTTCACAGTTAGAATGTTAGATCTGGAAGGGACTTTCATGGTCATCTGATCCAACCCACTCATTTTTCAAAATAGTAAAGCCCAGAAAAGTTAAGTGACTTACTGAGTCATGCAGCAAATTATTGGCTGAGCTGAACTTGAACAGCTTTCAATTCCCAGAGTTATTATTATTTGTTTGCTTTTATTTATATTTGCTTTTTAAATTTTTAAAATTTGAAATATTATTGCACTGTACAAAGTAAAAAAAAAAACCTTTTCCTTCTTACAGAACCCCCAATGCCCATTCAGCCTTTGCAGGAAACCACTATTAATATACCCTTTCCTCACTTATCGACTATCTTGTTATCCAACAACTAGCATTTAGGGCAATAGTAAAAAATCTACTATCCAACTATTTTGCACGTTAACGATGTACATCTGGCAGTAACGAGGGTATGAGGTGAGAGTAACGCTGGCTGTGATGGTTAAGATTATGTGTCAACTTGGCTGGAACATGATTCTCAGTGGTTTGGCAGTTAAGTAACTATGTAATCTGGCAATTATGTAATGATGTAAGGAACCCTGGAGGTACAGTGGTTAAAGCACTGGTTGAAAGGGTCGGCAGTTCAAATCCACCAGCCACTCCATGGGAGAAAGATGTGGCAGTCCGCTTCTGTAAAGACTGACAGCCTTGGAAACACTATGGGGCAGTCCTATAGGGTCACTATGAGTCGGAATCAACTCAATGGCAGTGGGTTGGCAGGTGGGTAATGATGTAATCTGGCAGTATCTAATGATGCAGTCATCCTCCATTTTGTTACCTGATGTGGTCATCCTCCGGTTTCGCATAATGCTGATTTTTGAATAATGACCTGGTCTTTGGAACCTAACCATGTCGATAAGTGAGGAGTGGGTGTAGTATAGTGTATGTTTCTACAGATTCTATGTGTGTTTTTATACATTTATACGCATACATATGTGTGTATACACACACAATCATTAGGTGTGTATACACACAATCATTAAAAAAATAATTTTATTTCAAACTAGAACTTAACTAAACCAAAAAGTAATTTTTTGATATAACATGGGAATTCTGAACGATAAACATTGCTTCCAAAAATCATCATTAAATCTGACAGAATCTATTGAAGAACCAAGATAAGATAATGCAACGACTGTTCTCATATACTGCCTCAATTTCCCTTTTGAACTGAAGGGTATGTTCCATCACCTGTTAGGACTGCTTCTGGCAGACATTCCTCAGCTTGAGAGAGCTGCCTTGCCCAAGGTCATGCCTTTCAGGGGGCAGCTTGCATCCACTGAATGGTCAGTGTGGAAGTATACAGGCCAGGCCCCCTTGCCGCAATGTAAGACAACCCTGTAGGATCATGCCAGCTTCAGAGTGCCCTATGGGGTCAGCAGAGGCCTTTGTTGAGACTGCATCACAGCCCAGCTTCCTCCCCTGCCCCAAACCTATGTCTTCCTTCCCTACTCCAATGCTGAACCTGAGAGACCTTCTCAATAAGTGTCCTGCATGCTAATCTCTGTCTCGGTCTGCTTTTCTAGTAATCCAACCTGTGACGGGCAATCGGACAATTTTTGGCTACTAAAACACTTTTTCTCCACAGCTGTTGAATTAATTAAACTATCTAGGTTTTCAAAGAAAAATTCTGAAAATAGAGGTATTCACCAAATAAGTATTTCAATTCAAGTCACTTTTTTACACATGTGTAAAACCTTCACAATTCTATGGAAAACAGATTTCAAAACTAAACATTGAAGTTTTGGGGGGGAAAACCAGATAAGCTGTTATATGAACTGTTGGAGAATTAAGAGCATTGCAAACAGGTGCTCAATAAATAATTGTTGAGCTGAATAAAATGAACTTTCAATAGACTTGTTTGGTGTTCACGGCTAGAGAAAGGCTGGATTTATCTCTTTCTCTGCCTTTCCTTTTGGTTTTTCTGGTTTTCCTTTCTATTTCTCTCCCCGCTTTCCTCATTTCCTTTATCTTTTTCCTTTTTAGTTTCTCCCCCTTTCGTTTTTCACTATTCCAATCCCTAACCTTGCTCCTCTGCTTCTCTGCCAAAATTGCCCATGTTTCACACCAGAGAAGTAGGTATACGAAAGTATTGATCAAGGGGAGTCAGGACTGGTGATCCAACTTTGCCAAAGGGGTTAAATATCTGTTGGGTTTAGAGAGGTGTGATGGTTAACTTTATGCATCAACTTGGCTAGGCTCTGATACTTAATTGTTGGGGAAACACTAGTCCAGTTGTGGTTATGAGGTAGTTACATGTGATTACATCAGTTGGCCTTAAGTAAAAGCAGATTACCTTCCATAACGTGCATGGGCCTTAATCAATCAGCTGAAGGCCTTAAGAGCAAAAAGGGAGTTTCCCTAGGGTGTGTTCTGCCTCCATACTATAGATAGATATTTTGGCAGAACTCCCTCACTCTTCCCACAGTCTAACCTACGGATCTTGGGACACAAGCCCACAGGAATCACTAGCCTGTTGCATGAGCCAATTCCTTAAAATCTCTCTCTCTATATATACATAGACAATCTCACTAGTTCTGTTTCCCTAGAGAACCTTAACTAAGACAAAAAGAAAAGGGTCAACTCCAAGCTAAGGAAGAACAAATGTAGGGCCAAGAAGATTTGCATCAATGAAGAAGGTACAGAAGAGTACAGCTGAACTGTGACTCCATTTCTTATGCTTCAAGAACCATATCAGACACTGGAGATATGGAGAGAAAAGATAGAATCTCAAATCTTAATCCAAATAGAGTGGAGGGAGAAAGTAAGCAGTGACAGAAGCAAAGAAAAGGAAGCAGGGAGAGGCTTCACAGAGGAAATAACATTTGAATTGAATCTTATACAGGAGGCAATGACGAGAGCGTGTGCAAAGGCAATGGGGTGTGAGAGAGTGTGGCTCATCCAGGGAACCACTAGTTTGACTTGGATGTAGGATAAGAGGAAGCAGTGGCAGGTTTGGAACTGAGGTTGGCTGAGGTCAAATCATGAAGGGTCCTCAATGCTATGCAGGGGGTTTTGTAATTTACTTTTATGAGTGGGGCCATTATCAAACTTAAGTAATTAGATTGGTACTTTACAAAGATTATTCTGAGATCAGAATACAGGATGGACTGATAGGGATAGAGGCAGGGAAACCAGTTAGAGTGCTACTACAGTGCTCCAGGCAAAGGGTGATAAGGGTGTGAACTAAAGTATGTGGAGCTGGAGGTGGATGGAGAAAATGGGCCTGGACGAAGAGCTCTTGGAGGAACACTAACAGAACTTGAAAAAAAACGGGATGTGGGAATGCGGAAGTATTGGGTGACACTCCTCCATGGGCCTCTCACACTCCTAGATGTCTTGGCATGTCAGGAATGCAAGGCCTTGATCATTCTTTACTTGGGCCATTTTTCAGGGTTGTGTTTGTTACAAGGCAACCTTGAGGAATGAGGTTATGTCTCCCTTCAGGACCAAGAGCAGGCTTGCTTACTGCTTACTATAAAAGCAGTAGATTCCTCAAGCCCATTGTCTTTCAGCTGTGATGCAAACCACTGCGTATGCAGTATTTACTTGTGCCCTGTGTCACCCCGTGAGACTTAGGGGACAAAGAGAACCAATGCAAATATGATGCACATACTACCTGCTGTGCTATGAATAATAAAGTACTTTGTTTCTGCCCTAATAGTCATGTGTCTTTTACTGTGAAATTGTATTGTCTTCTATTCCCTAAGTAACAAGCTAATTTATTAGCTTGTAAATTAGGTAAGATCAAATTCCACGCTCAACAGGAAGAAGAAAGATTTCTGGCTTGAGCAGCTTGGTGTAAAGTCGTACCTCTCGTGGTGGGGGCAGGGGAAGGCTGGTTTGTAGCAGATAATGAGGTCAGTTTTACATATGGCAATTGTATTTTATTGTCAACTAGGTGTAGTCCTAATATACAGGTATTGATAATAGGAGCTTATAGACCCTCTGACACAGTCTGTCTCTAACTGAAGCAGAAAGAGAAATGCCCCAGAGGATGGCCAGTCTCACACCCCAGCATGATACTCAGCTTCCCACCCTTTCAACCTTTTGATGTATTATACTAGTGCTTCCTCAGAATGCAGGTAGAAAATAAACTTCTAAGGATAACCTGAGTAATTCAAGTTCTCAGCTGAGATTTATTCACTTTATTGGGTTAATGTGCAGCACACCCAGTGACCTCAACTCTCACAAGAAACACCTGTTGTCTGAAAGGAACAACTCACACCACCCTCTCCTCTCTCATTTCTGGTAGTTCTAGAGGAGAACCAGTGATGGAAGAAAAAAGGCACCTGGGGTAAGAGAAAGGAGGAGTGACAGTAGAAGAAAGAACAAATCTAAGACATTTTCTTCTTGGGCAGGAACTCTGTGTCTATTGCCAGGCTTGCCTGCATAGCAAGGGCTCAATAAAAGTTTTTAAACAAATCCTTTATTTTTGCTTTTTAATCCATTAACCAACCAGTTGTCGTCAAGTTGTATTCTAACTCACGGCGACCCCATGTGTGTTAGAGTAGAACTGTTCTCCCTAGCATTTTCAATGGGTGATTTTTCGGAAGTAGAACAACCCAGCAGACTAAAGGCCATTAGGCCTTTCTTTCAGAGGCACCTCTGGGGGGACGTTAACCAACAACCTTTCAGTTAGCAGCCGAGCATGTTAACCGTTTGCACCACTCAGGGACTCCTTTTAATTCCATTACACAATCCTAAACAATTCCTGTTCATGTTTTGATAACCAAAATGTTAATGCTTTTTTTTCTTTAAAGCATGGATCCAACTGATAAAATAGCTCTGGTCACTTACCCGGTCATTCAAAAGCTGATGGTTTAGGGGTGTCCAGGTACTCATCTTTGTCTGCATTTTGGGACCATCTATGCTTTTTGGTGGTGCAAATGCCATCATGAAATAACTGGATATTCTTCCAAAAGAAAAACTACACCTATCAGAAGAAATCAATTACATAATCTTCAGAATACTAAAAGTACTAACATATAATCTTTTAGTCTGTTTGGGGTGGGAGGAGGTACAGAGGAAGGAGGGAAAAAACGTTTATCGGGAGTATTTTATATGTTGTTTTTGTGTGTTGTCAAGTTGATTCCAACTCAGAGTGACCCTACAGGACAGAGTAGAACTGTCCCATAGGGTTTCCAAGTCTTTAAGGAAGTAGAGCACATCTTTCTCCTGTGGAGTGGCTGGTGGGTTCAAACCACTGACCTTTCGGTTAGCAGCTGAATGCTTAACCACCGTGTGACCAGGGCTCCTTGCTTCATGTTAGACACTTTATATTTATGCTCGATTAACGTTCATAACAATCTGGTGAGGTGGTGGGTTTTAGCTCATTTTTCAATGAAAAAAAAAAAAAAAAAAAGAGGCTCACTGAGGTTACATGCCCTGCCCAAGGTTATACAGATACAAACGGTGGAAGTGGGAATCAGACCTAGTTATCTTTAACTCCATTTCATTTTCATTGGACCATAGAGGGAAATACAGAATCACTGCCAGCTAAGGACATACACACCATATTGACCATATCGAAAGTATTTTAAGTAATTCTCGTGTCTTAACTTTCTGACATCTAAGTAACAAGGGTTCCAGCCTGATGTCATATTTAAGAAATAGAATGGTATAATGGGCAAAGCCAAGGCTTTAGAGATGAACAGATTTGGGTTTATTGGAGGGGGAGGGGATTGGATGTTTTTAGTTGCACAGTATACAGTCTGCCTTCTTTTGACTAAAGCATTTTCATTTCCATGAGGAATTACTTTTCCATTGTTTAGTCTGCTGGGCTGGTTAATCAAGGTGGCCTGCTTCTTGCCTAGCCAAGAGGTAGTCATGAGACCAAGCTAGATTACTTGGACTGAAGAGGGATTATCCTTATTTTACAGGTGAGGTGGTCATTCAGAATGGCATTGGTGCCCTGAACAGACTATTAAGTTGTTCCAGCTACCTTGCCCCTCAGAAATCTTATGTCTTTTCTTGTCCATTTTGTGAGCCACCTGATATTTTTTGTATTAAATTTCTTCTTTTGCTTAAGTTAGCTGATATCTGTTTCTGTTGTTTGCAATCAAAACTTTAATCTTGGCTCTAACACTTACTAGCTGTGTAATTTTTGCAAGTTATTTAATCATTCCAAGTCTCAATTTCTTCATCTGTAAAATAAGGATGTATACATATGCCCTAAACTGTTGTTGTGAGTATTAGAGAGAAAGAGTCTGGCAGAGTGGCTGACAGATAGGTGACCTCAATAAGTGGTAACTTCCCTGCAGCCTTTCTTAGAACTTTTAATCATTTACAGAGTGCCTCAAAACCTGTCCTTTAGAGTGCCATAACAAAATACTTTAAGGTGGAGAAATTTTAAATGCAGGTTCATAGCAGTTTCAACATATAACCTCAATGTTTCTGCCTGCCTCTGTGTTCCTTCCTTTCTGAAGGTGGGTTCACCATAAGAAGGTAATGGTGGTCACTGAGGGGCCAAGCCTGCCTGCTTGATCTACAGGCTCCAAAAATTACTCTACATCCAAAAATATTGGACGATTTTAAAAAAAAACAATTATTTGGGGTGTGATACAGGATTTCCCCAAATGCTGTATCTGAAACCCTTGAATCTCCTACTTGACAATGCCCTCCTGTAGTTACCTACCATAAAACCAGCTGCTGTCAAGTTGATTCCAACTCATGGCGACCTCATGTGTGCAGAGTTGAACTGTGCTCCATAGAGTTTTAATGGCAGTAGATTGCCAGGCCTTTCTTGTGAGGCCCCTCTGGGTAGACTTGAACTTCTAATCTTTCAGGCAGCAGCCAAGTGCTTTAACTATTTGTACCATATTAAGGGAGTAAAGGGGGTTCAGATCAGCTCTCAGGTTCTTCTCAGCTGCTCTCTAACAGCTAATTATCTGAGTCATCATATGTTTAGCTAAGTTACAAAAGGCAGAAGAAATTAGTTCATTACGGTATTAACTGGCAGCTATAAAAGTGTGGGTGAGCAGACAAGTTACAGATACAAAACCTGGCCACAGAGTCTAGATCTGCCCAGTTAAGAATGATATTCTTCTTTTTTGTTGTTTTTTGTTTGTTTTTACCATTTTTCTCTTCAAACCAGTTGTTTTTAATCTTTTTTTTGAGAGTCATAAAGCTCACAAATGAAAGCTATGAATCCTCTCTCTAGAATAATACACATGAATAAAAAATTTTGCTAATACCAGATTAAAAACTCCCACTCTAAGCTGAGGAAGTCTCTCTCTCTTCCAAGTTTGTGTAGGAAACAAGATCCTCTCTGACTGATTATTTGCACATTTTCTGAATTAGGGCAAAGTAGCTTTTCTAGGAGACTTCCCAAGACTCTGAGCTGGTTGTTTTCTTTTTCCTGGTTCCTTAGAGCTAGAAATTACTTGAAGTAGGCTTTCTTCAAGTCAGCTTGAGGAAAGGTTGATTTTCATGAGATGGGCCTGGCCAGGAGAAGCAGCCCTCCTGGTAATACAGCTCTGATAAAGCACGCAAACAGGGGTGTCCTGGCCTGTATTTTGCTACTATGTTTTACACATTTTTCCTCCTCACTCCATTCCAGATGATGGGCAGTGTACATATACGCATTCACACACGTTTATGGTACAGACCATAAACTACTATTAAAAAGACAGAAACTTTTATATAACATGCACAAAAAATAATTCCTCCCACTCCATCAGCAAGACAAAACAAGTTGTCTTTCCCTCCTTCCACATAGAAGGCTTCCTGTTGCTTTTTTACGACCTATTTCCCCCTTAATGGCTGTCCTTAAAAATTCATCTTAAATTTTCTTTGAATATAGAAAGGGCCTGTGTCCCTAGCCCCCAATGGGTGGTTCTAGTTCCATATTCAACAATAGGGATGGGCCCCTGTGGTAAAGTTCCAGTGGTCACACATTTCCAGTCTGATTTTCTGAGTCATCTGTCACACTGTCACCATTCTTCAACGACATTTATTAAGTACCTACTAGGCCTGAATTAGGGTACAAAGACAAGAGTCTATACTTTAATGGAGCTTACAGTGTCCTGTTAGAGAGTTGTTTTTTTTTTTTAAAACCAGTTGATCCTATCACTTTTCAGCTCAAAAACCTTCATATGCTCTCCAGTGTCTACAGAATACCCAAGCCCTTTTGCCTGGAAGTCTAGATCCACTATGATTTTACCCCAACCTACCTTTTCAGCCTCACTTCCCCATCTTCCTTCATGCACCTATGCCAAGACACACTGAACTCCTGACCACTCTGTGAACATGGCACAAAACTTTGATGATTCTGTATCTTTGCTTATGTGGTTTTCTGAAGCTGCTCATCTGAATCTTAATCACAGCATTACATAATAGGTTAAATAAATACTAGTTAAATAAACCGAATGAATGAATACAATAGGGAGGTGATTTAAGGGTTAAAACTCGTGGAAATGTTGGGTGAAATGCAACATTTAGAACTGAGCACGGGGATTACATTCAGGATTACATTTTATTTGAATTTTACAGAGCAGAATAGGACTAAGTTTCTCTGCTAACATACAGCTCACCCATTGTACACTGCAGTAGCATCAGCAAAGGGAAACTCAGTATCAGGAAAATTGGTAGGGTATGGTTAGACTTAAATATGAATTCATTTTAAATTAGATAGTTAAAATAGAGCAAGAACTATAATACAATGCAAACAGCTAACTAATGCGTGACATAATTATTTGTTGACTGTTAATTTCATCCAAGTATGACGCATCTAGCACTTTAACTGTAGCTGAAATAGGAGAGCAAAATGTAACCCCTGAAGCATCGACAAGGGTTGCGAGAGGCCCAGGAGAATCCGAGAGTGGAGTCTCAATGAGAATCTACATCTTTTTCCAGTACTGCCTACCGCTCTCACCTGTTTTAGCTTTCCTCCTTCTTCAAGCCTCAAGCGCTGCGGTTGCCATAGTCGCAGCAGACCAGCTTTTTCTTAGACTGCTTCCAGCCTCCACCCTTTCCAGCTTCCAGTAGTCCAATCACAGTCTAGAAACCCTGTCGCTGGCATACGGGGTCTCTGAGGCAACAATGTGTTGTCTCTTGATTGGCCAGCAGATCCAGGAAGGCTGGCTCCAAAATTTGGCAGAGATGAAATTTTAAAGTGTGAGTGCTAAAACGGTAGGAGAGGCTGCAATACCCCGACATGATGCCACGATGAAGATGCATTCGATCCTGAAACAAGCAACACGGAAAGCCCTCATCAAGACAACACTTGCGTTCCAAATCAGCCTTTCCTACTGAGCATGTTTATTTATATTGCTCTGGTCACGCGGGGCTCCCAAATGCAATCTCCACTTTTCCAGGTTTTAAGAGTGGCCAACAGGTAAAAGAAGGCTCGAGAGGAAAAAGAATTAACGACTGGTTCACTGAAAGAATAGCACCTGCAACAGAAAGTGAAGGGACGTGGGAAAATTGCCAAACAAATGCTTCTCCACATAAATTTCAATTTACTGGATTGTGGAATTCAGGCTGACTGATTGATACACCAGGAAACCAGTAGATGGCATGCTTAATAAGCAAACCCCCCCCCCACCAAAAAAAAAAAATCCACTCGTTGCCTTTGCGGCTATTCCTACTCATAGCAACACTATAGGACAGAGTAGAACTGCCCCATAGGGTTTTCTGGTGGATTCCAACTGCTGACCTTTCAGTTAGCAGGCAAACTCTTAACCACTGCACCAACAGGGCTACATGCTTAATAAGAATAAAACTAAACTCGAGAAATCTTAAAATTCAGTCTAATTTAATTAAACTTATTAAGCACCCAACATATAACAAAAGGTTAAGTGAGAATAAACCAAACCCACCCTGTCAAGTTGATTTTCACTCATAGTGACCCTACAGCAAAGAGCAGAACTTCCCCAGAGGGTTTTGAAGGCTATAAATCTTTACTGGGGCATACTGCCACATCTCCCGCTAAACTGCTGGTGAGTTCCAACTGCCCATCTTTCGGTTAGCAGCCCAGCGCTTAACCATTGCACCACCTGTGCTCCTGGAGTGAGAACAGAAGGATAAGAAAGAAATCTAATGAGAAGACTGGAAAATGCATTGTATAAATAACTGATCTAAGGCCCACAGTGATAACTGCTGTGATAGAACCATAAACAAGTGCAGGAGAATACCAAAAAGTTCAAAATTCCAGAAAGCAGATTCTTTGGTAAATAAATATAAAGCAGTTTTTATAGGCAGCAGATAACAAGATTTTCCTATCTTACATTTCCTAAAACATTTAAGAATGTACTCTCTTCGAACTTAAAAGTTATCCCTATGTTGGTATTGTGTTTCATGGTTTTGAAATGGGCGGAGTTTTTGTATCTCCAAGTTAAAAAGAAAGATAAGTGGAGCTCACAGACGTGAAGCTCATAGCCTTCCCTAAATTAACAGATCAGTAAGTTGCAAAACTGAAATTAGAACCCAGGTTGTCTGAATTCTTCACTGACCAGGCTGTATGTAAACAAATAAAAGCCTGGGGCGGGGGGCAGGGTGACCTGGAGGTGGTATGTAGATGTAATACTAAATTACCATGTATTACCAGGTAACATTTATGATTTCAAAACCAGTTCATCCAAGAGACCAGTTTTAACAATGTTGCGAGTGCTGTGAAGTTCCTGCTCATTAAAAATGTTGGTGGTTACAAGGTGGAGTTAAAGAGAGATGGAATAATAAGAGCATATCACCTTATCCCTGTTGGATTTGAATATTTTTATCCCTGAAAATAAGGTCCCTTTCGTCTATCTTTTCTATCACTACCCTCTGGGCCTCCTCTTTTCCCATACCTCATCCATCTGATTACTGTGTGCCCATGGGAGTCTGAGTCACAGCATTCACACTCTGTTCATAGTAGGCATATTAGCTCAATATCTGTGATACATTACCTGTAAGTGAAAATTTTCAAACAAAGTTTGGAGATTTTCAAAAGAAACACCCTCACTTTTCCATGGATAAAATGTCAACATTTTGCTTCGTGTGTTTAACTGATACCGTTGAAGCCCCTTTCCTACACTTCCCAGATCTCATTCCCCTCCTTACCTCCCTACAGGCAACCACTGTTATGAAATCGGTGTGTGTCCATCGTCTATTTCATATGTTTTGATTACATATACATGTTTTGTCTTCAAAAACACCATATAGCATTCTAGGTTGTTTTTTTTTTTTTAAGGTACCTAATTTACATATTTTGTAGTATGCTTTTTTCACTCAATGTTATATTTTGGAGATTTAACTACGTTGATAAATTTGGTGATAATTACTACAACATTCCTACCTCCCCATGTGAACTATGATGTGTTCCGTATCTGACAGTTTTTACAACAGGGTTAGAACGATGAATAAATTACATAAAAATGCACCTAGCAGCACAGCTCGAGGTACACGGGATCTGGAAACACATACAGCAGGCACACGTAGACTTTTCCGCACACGCAATCTGCCTGCTCACTCACCCTCAGGAGAGGCAGCACTGGCTTCACAGAACACCGATTTACCTAGAAATCAGTCTAAGGATCACTATTACTTTTAAGTCCTATGTGCTATCAACAGAACAAAATGATGCCCGTGAACTTTAGGTTGAAACGGTAAGAAAAGGAAGAGAAATAAAGGGGTAAAACGGTGCAGTAAAAAAGAAAAACAGCCTTGGCTTTGGATGAATCCAGACTCTGCCCAGACTCTGCCATTAAAGTGCTGCGTGGCTTTGCGTAAGGCATTTCTGGGTGTTCTTCTCCTTGTTTGAAAAATGCAAAGCTGTGTTTAGATTATCTCTAATGACTTTTTCGGAGCCCTGGTGGCGCAGTGGTTAAAAGCTCGGCTTCTAACCAAAAGGCGGTTCGAATCCACCAGCCGCTCCTCAGAAACCCTACGGGGCAGTTCTACTCTGTCCTGTAGGGTAGCTATGAGCCGGAATCGACTCGACGGCAATTTTTTTTTTTTTTTTTATTAAGGACTTTTTTCAGCTCTAAAGTTGTTTATGTAGAAAAAAAGAGGGGATACACTTCCTAAGGAGCAAAAGGAGGGAATGCTACCAACAATAGCCTTAAGCTCCATCTGTTTACTAAGCTCTTCGCAAAGACGAAGAAAACTGTTGCCGGGCAAGTACATCCGTCTGCTATGCTGTTTTAGCGCCGAGTTCTCAAAGACTAGTTGTCTACCTCTACCTGCACCCAGTTCCACCTGGTGAACCGCCTCCGGACCACCTCCAATCCCCGGGGGTTCTCAGGTTAGCACACTTGTTCTCAAAACAGGTTTGGGGAGTCTTGTAATAGCATCACAGGCTTGGAGAATCGAGAATCACCGCTGTTTCAGCAGGGGAGGAAGCTTTACAGAGGTCTAAATGCATTTAAGAAAAACGCCTCTAGACCGCGAAACAACTACGCCGCTGCCGGGCAGTTAAAGAAAACCGTAATCGTCGGCGCGAAGCACAGAACAACGAAAGAGATTCGCATTCCTCTGCGCAGTTAGGCTCAAAATGGGTGCGCTCAGCGGAGAGTGCGCAGAGCGCTTGCGTGATGCGTGCGCGCGCGCGCGCGCGCTCACCGGGCCGCGCATCCCAGCGCTCGCCAAAGCTCGCGGTTACTCTGGCGCGCGCTGGCGGTCAGAGACTGCTCGGTTTACCTGAGGGACGGCTGGCTGCCCCCGGCTGGCGCTGCAGCCACCATCGCATCCGGCCTCCAAGGTCTGAGGTGAGCACCGAGGCGCCCGATCTCCTGGCCTAGGATAGCGGGAAAACGGAGCAGTAAGTCTGCAGAATGAGGAGGTGCTGCCGCCGCCGCCGCCTGCTCCTCTGCCTAACCCTGTGCTGAGGAGCCACCAGCAGCCCCGGCACCTCCTCCTCAGGGATCGTTATTCTCGTCGCGGCCAAAACAAAAGCCTCCAGCTCCCGGCTGTGGCAGGGTGTCTGGAAGGCTTCTTCTGAGCGGTATGGGGGTAAAGAGGTGCGGTGAGGACAAGTTTGGGGTTAAGGAGTGAGGTGGGGAGATGCCCTCGGAGATTATTAACCCATTCCCTTCAAACCTGAGCTGGGCAACCTGTGCGAGTGTGGACCGCAGCTTCCTCTTCTCCACCCCCGCCCCAAAACATTCATGACGAGAGGTGGATTGATCTCGAGCCCGGTTCACTTCATTCGTGAAATGCGGGGGTGTGTGGCGCACTCCACCCGCCTGGGAGCGGGTGTGGGAGGACGCGTCTGGGAGGAGGCGAGAGGACAATGCATCGGGGTCTCCAACGCCGCCGGGCAGTTTGGGCCAGCGGAAGACACATTTGAATTTTTCCTTTCTCAAATGTCATTTTAGTATTCGAACTGACCTTTTATTTCCATTGCATGAAAGTTGTATCTTCCATCCCATCAGTTTGGAAAGTCTGTTGCTTGCTCTCCAAATATTTTCTCCTTTTTATGGTACGTGTATCTTTCATGGGGTACTGTTGGATGATCAATAGATGCCCTCTGAAATAAAGGTGCCGTTTAAATATTTAGCAAATAAGTTATTTCAAGCAATTAGAAAACCTTCCCTGGGGCTTTTTTAAATTTTAAATTTCTCTGTAAGAGAAACAGAAGGCTTTTTTGAGGACAAAAGCCACATTCTATTAATTTAGGCGTAGGAGTAGTAGACTTAAAGTTTTAAAATACCTACCCCATAAAAGAGGTCCAGTTTTTTTGCTCGGTAGAAAATGAAAATTTAAATTTTGGTTCCCTTTTAAATTTAGGCAGATGCAGCAGCAGAGCAGAACAGCAGCATCAATGACTGCTGTATAAATATATTCAAACAAAATCTTGTTTTATGGAACTAATTTTGATAGACCTGTAACGTTTATGGGAATTAGATTACTTTGCAAAGCTAATACCACAAGAGCGAAGAAACAAAGACCTGACGTTGGGAATGTTACCTCCCTCCTCAGCCTCTTTTTAGCCTTTAGTGGTGTGCTGATAGCTTTTTTTTTTTACATTATAGGCTGGTAGAGGAATAGATAAATTCTTACTTCTGTTATTAGGAAGCAATTACTACTACTGAAGATAATGCTTTCCATCCTTACTTTTGAACAAATCAGTACCTTCTTTTTTGTCTAGGGAAGAAAACAACAAACCAAACCAAACTAAAGAAAAAAACCCCATCTACTTCAACTACCAAACCACAATATAAAGGTGAAAAGATTTAGTTGAGGAGTAGGAAAGAGGTGTTAAAGCTTATCTGCGCAGACTTGGAAGGATAGAGCTGAAGATGAAATATAATTAAGATGCAAACCTTCTCTTACTGTGTTGCCCAATGAGCTACATTTTGGGATGTTTTCCCATCCCAAATGTTTTGAAACTACTGTATGAGTAAAATAAGTAAGTTATTAATGAGACCTACCATCCTACTCTCTTTTTTT